AACACGGTTGTTAAACGAATCTGCCTTCCCCATTGCCTTTGCTTTTCAGGCAGTTGCAAAACGGGCTCATCATTATGCGACCGTCATTAATAGGAGTCCTGAATTTTGAGTTCTGTAAGCTGGCTGACAAATTCTGGGAGTTGAAGTCCACACGTCTTAAAGAGGCCAAAGTTGGGAAACTCTGGCCTAATCCTTTGAGCCTACATAACCTCTTCTCCAAAACACCTGAAGGCAGGAGAAGAAGCAACGGATGGAAACCAATCAAGGAGAGAAGCAACCTAGAAATAAGGAGAAATTTTCTGACAGTGAGACCAATGAATCAGTGGAACGAGTTGTCTTCAGAAGTTGCTGGAGGCTTTTAAGAGAGATTGGACAACCGTTTCTCTAAAATAATATAGGGTCTCCTGCTTGAGCAGGAGTTTGGACTAGAAGATCTCCAAGGTCCCTTCCAACTCTCTTATTCTGTTAACCCACTGTGGCCACATGACACTCGTCCACACATGGTTTTTATCCCCTGTTTGACTTTGATACAAATTCCCAAAGTCTATGGATCCTTTCCCAGACATTGTCGTTGTTGTCATTGTAATTTGGGTGGTGGAGCAGCCAATTCACACTCTTTTTCAGACTGATTTAGCTTTGTAGCCAACATTTTTTGGGTGGCCTCTGCTGTTCTGTTTTAGGTTGTTTTTTTTTTTCTCACTTGCAGGCTTCACTGTTCCTTTTCAATTATGAAAGCTGCAGTCCTAATTGCTGCTTGTAAAGCCACCATCGTGTACAATGTGAATTTTTGCCAGGGCTTGTAAAATAGTTGATCTCCTGCCACTCAAAACCAATTTCTTGGTTTGATTTTCTTTTAAATCTCCCACAAGGAACATAGCCTTCAAGTGGATGAGATGTTTGTCTCAGATGAACATTTTTAGGAATCAGGAATAAGAAACTAGAATCCAACTGTTCCTATAAAGGCTACCTCCCCAATCCTTAGTGGGTTACCTAGATCAAACCTAAAAGGTATTATTATTTCATAGATTTCATTCCCACCCATTTTCCATCTCACCATGGAAGCAGCAAGGTGAAACAGGCTTCAGATATGCCTCTGTGAGCACTTGACCTTCAGTCTGGCCCTATCAAAAAAAGGCGCTCCTTTAGATGAAAGTGCTTGCAAGAAAAGTCCAGCTTAAAATAGCCAGTTTTCAGCCGGAGATCCACTGTGTAGCAAAAGAAACAACTGAGCCCAGTGCAGGCCAAAGCAAGAAATCTTTGGCCTAATTTCAAAATCCCTTCACGAGATTGCTGCTCCCATTCGGTCCAGCCATGGCAGCTTTGATGGGCCGCAAAGAGGCCCTCAGCCTCTTTGCGGCTTATGGCAGCGTTCATAAAAACTGAAAGAGCCTTTTGATCCCTGCCTCTCGCAAATGTCAGAGGAGGCAAGTAGCATGTGGACACTTTGCTTCACTGGGAGAAAGCAGGAAGACGTGTCCTTCACAAGGCTTTTTTTAAAAAAAAAACTAAAGGAAAGGTTCTCCTTGAAAAATCTGCCCAGACTGTGAGGCGTCTGAAAGAATTCTCTGTTCTTTTCCTGCAACTAGAGAGACAACAGGGGAGAGGAAAAGATTAAAAGGAGGAGGAGGAAAAAGGAGGAGGAGGAGAAGAAAGAGAAGGAAGAAAAAGAGGAGAAGGAGGAAAGGAGGAGGAGGGAGAAGAAGAAGAGGAGGAGAAGGAGGAGGAGGAGAAGGAGGAGGAGGTGATCAGATTCCAAACAAGGGTCTTCAGTTGGAAAGTTCCCTCCTCCAAAAAGTAACCACGACTAAAACTAATTAAGCTTAGCATGCTGCATGAAGTCAGGCTTTACCTAACCTGGAGACAGGTGTCATGTGAACCAGCAAAGAAAAAGAATTCTCAGAGAGGCCCTTTGAAAACTGGTTGAAAAAGAAAACACTCCATGGACTGCTTAACACACCTTTTGTATCTGAGAAGATCTGCAAAAATCTCACCATGGGAGGTAGGCAAGAAACAAGAGTTTTAATCTGGTCATTTGCAATCCAAATCTGACAGGACCTGGGAAGAAATATCTGCCCGTTTTGGATCTCCTGGGAAAATAGAAGCCTTGCATCTTAAGCATTTCTATTTTTATCTGTACAATGTTGGCAAGATGGGTGATTGATGTGTTTCTTTCAGCTTTTAGCCAAAGAGCCTTCAAGTTTTGGTGGCCACCCACCTGCAGAGGCAGCCAAGAATTTAGCTCTACGGTTTTTAAAGACCAGCAAGGTAGTCACTCAGTGAGGGTTGAGCAGAAGCCAGCAAAACAAAGCATAACATGACAAAACTCCCTGGGAACATTTAAATCCGCTCTCCGACTTAATCCCTTCTCTCTGTGGCATTCAACAACTAGGCTTTCCTATCTGGTGCATAAATATCACTCACCCTGCATAGAGAGGGTAGCTTAGCAGGATGAATGGACACAGACAGCTGGGGCTGTACTCAGAAAGGAGGACAATCTGTGAGCACAACAGCCAGAGAAGAGAATTTTAAGATGCCATTTCTCTAGCTAAACTGCCCAGGAAGAATGTTTAAGAGAATGCAAAGGGTTTTATGCTGAACCCCAAATCTTAGCTTGCATAAGGATTCTTCCCAAGGTTCACATAAGCCCAACATATGGAGAATGACAGTTATTGGCCAAGATGGACTTGAAACATGTCATAGCACTCCACAATTATCAACCCAACCAGCACCTTGCAACTGGGAATTAGAGAGACAATGGTGGAGAGAAAAAGGAGGAGGAAGAGGAGGAGGAGGAGGAGGAGGAGGAGGAGAAGGGAGAAGGGAGAAGGGGAAGGAGGAGAAGGAGGAGGAGGAGGAGAAGGAGAAGGAGAAGAAGAAGGAGAAAACTCCTAATTTTAGCAATCTGAATTTTTGTAACCGAGATCTCATCGCCTTAAGCGAATACCTCACAAGGTTTCAGGTAGATGTTTCCTCAGCTTTACCTGGAGATGCTGTGAAATGAATCTGAGAGGTTTCACTTGTAAAATGTGTGCTAAACCACTGTGCTATGGTCCTGGTTTAATTCCCAGTTCCTCTTGCTCAGTTTTATCTATTCTGACTGGCAGTTGTTTTTTATGTTTTATGTTTTTTATTACTTCAGTTGCGACTTGATTCCCGGAAACCCGAGGTGATGGGGATCAAACTTCCGATGCCTGTGAAGAAGATGCACTACATGGACCTATGACCCTCTCTCATAACTCACAATTACTCTAATATCATAGAGCCAGCGGTGTGGAAATGTCGGGCTTGGAGCATTGTGAAGTGCTTGTGCGATTTGCATGTTTCCAAATGAGGGACATGTTTATTATTCAGCCATAAGCCTCTGCAGGCAGCTGCTGATGTAAGGAAGCTGAGAATGCTTGAATTCCACCTAACTGCAAGTTGAATAAAAATTTACTGCTCCCGTCTCCCCTTCCTCTTTCTCCATAATGAAATACGACTTTGTAATTAAGCCGGTGATGAAAGCATAATTATAGCAGCAACAATATTGTGCAGCTAAGTGACAACTTTGTGCAATTTGCCAGTGTCACTGTTAATGTATTCATTTATACAAATGCAGCTTAAGAAATGCCTACTTTCCAGACAGCTACAAGATATTATTTATAACTTCAGCCGTTAAAGGCATCTCCAGAAAACTGGCTTGATCTTTCTCTGAAATCTGGTTTTTTAAGCTGAGAGTTTCAGCTAATCATTTTACAGATGATGTTGTTCTTAGTGGTTGAGATATTTATATACACATGCAACACCCTCCAGCTGTATTCCAATCTGATTTTTTGGACCCTCTGCCACTCCATCATTGCAGATATCATGTGGACAAAGGGGTCAGCCTCTCTGGGCTCCCCAAACTGATTTCAAGTTCTCCAAAACTCATTCATTTGGGTGGAAATATTGTAGCCTGGAAGCTATTTCTGCTGAAGCCTAAGTAGATGCATGGTGATTCTTGAGGTGTTCTCTAAATAGGAACCAGATGAACTGCGAGATGACAGCCCCGTTGCTCTTCCTTGTGGCAGCAAAGATTTAGGACTTCTTCCAATCTTCTTCCTTTCTTTTGTGAATAATGTCCCCAATTCCACTCAGTCAAGAACAAACTCATGTTTTGGGAGATGCCTCACAACATGCACATTCAATCTCCATTGTCCTTGAAATGAAATCCTCTTCCTACTTCAGTGGCTACTTTTGCAGCCTCTCTACTTTTGCCTAGAACTTGATCAATAGCATGCTATAGAGCTCTCATGGAACCTGATGCTTAAAGAACAGTTACCAACCTGTCCAGCCAACTAACCATAAATGATACGCTGCTCTCAAGAGTCTTGTTGATGTGGTTCACTTCCCAGATGTATAAGACGAGTCCTAGTAGATTTAGTCTTTGTATTCTCCTCTTTCAGGAAATCTTTAAAAACATACCTCTTTAGGCAGATCTTCCATGTTCAATGGCTACATTATTATGTTGTGTTGTATTGTTTATAAATATAGAAATACAATTATTTATAATAATCTTGTATTCTGCATTTTTGTTGCCATTCCAAAGAGGAAAGTAGGAAAGATAGATGATAGATAGGTAGACAGATAGTAGATAGATAGATAGATAGATAGATAGATAGATAGATAGATAGATAGACTGATAGATAGATAGATAGATAGATAGATAGATAGATAGATAGATAGATAGATAGATAGATAGATTATGGATGGGTTGATAGATAGATAGATAGATAGATGGATGGATGGATGGATGGATGGATGGACGGACGGATGGGTAGGTAGGTAGGCAGGCAGGCAGGCAGACAGAAAGACAGACAGACAGACAGACAGACAGACAGACAGATGGATGGATGATGAAGAGATGACAGATAGCATCAATAAATGCAACTGTGGAATGTAACATTAAAAAAACAAAACAAAAGCATCCACCTCCTTTATAAGCAAATGACTACAGTTGTTCTAGCATCAACTAATCCTACCTGTTATATAGAAGGATATCTGGCTTCCATATCTGTCCAGCAGGAAAGCGAACGTTCTTTACTCCAGGATACTCAGACATGTTCCATTGTAGATAATAATCTGTCCAATACTTGCAAATTAAAAAAAGGAAAAAGAAAAAAAGAAAACTTGAGCCAACAGCCAGAAGCTAATTTACTTTTCTATTAGCACCAACTTGCTGCCTTAGGACCTGGATGTCTGCAGGGGCAAGGGATGTTAAATGGATCACAGCATTGTTGCAAATATAAAGCAAATGATGTCATTTGCACCTGTCACGGTTTTATGCGCAACGGATGCAAATTATGGGATGGTGTCATGGAGCCGGAGGCATCCCTATGGCTCATAGCAGATGCAAGTCCATGGAATTCAATATCCTTCACATTGAAGACCACCCTGGATCCCCCCCCAAAAAAACAATATTGTGATGGTAAATAGAAACTTAGGTATCAGGTCACCCAACTGCACACAAATACCTGTAAAAGAAACTTCAGCACGCAGCATCCAGCATGCCATTCATAGCAGAAAATTGGAATATTACAGAAACACATGCACACCTTACATCCCAATTACATTTCCCTTTAGGGCCGTGACTTCATAGCTCCCTAAAACTGAAAAGGAAAAGACCGAAATAACCAATTAGAAGTCATTAGCGAGACCGCTAAACATCTCTCTAAAAGAGAATATTTGTAGCTCAGGGTTGAAGTGAAGGGTCCTTGATGCTCTCTGAGCTTGCTTGTTTTCTTGCAGGTTATTCTTTCATTACCCAGCTAGGTAACATCATCTGTGCTAGAAGGGAGTGGGATTTGCAGAGTGGAGGAAGAAGAAGAGGAAGAATGTGGGGTCCTTGTGCTCTCTGAGCTTGGAGGTTTTCTTGCAAATGTTTCATTACCCAGCTAGGTAACATCATCAGTGCTAGAAGGGAGGGAGGTTTGTGGAGAGGAGGAGGAGGGGGGAGGAGAAAGAGAAAGAGGAGGAGGAAGAATGTGGGGTCCTTGGTGTTCTCTGAACGTGGTGGCTTTGTTGCAGATATTTCATTACCCAGCTAGGTAACATCATCAATGCTGATGATGTTACCTAGTTTGGGTAATGAAACATCTGCAAGAAAATCACCAAGCTCAGAAAACACCAAGGACCCCTCAAACGTATCTCTGTTGAGAATCCTGCTTTCTCTGTGTCTTTTGTTCCTGGAGAAATTGTCCATGATTATAAACAAATTTCCCATGTTTTCCTTTATTAAAAATGAATTCTTTACATTCTTTTGGTGTTCAGGCAACTCAGAGATAGTGAGGGGAGTCCTTTTTAAAAAAAAAAAAAAAAAGCATGGTTGAGAATGCTGGGTTAGGAAGGAAGTCCACCCTTTTTCTGCTTCTAATCTGCAACTTTTCCATAATGAACCAGGCGTTCTGAAAGGAGAGTTATCCAGAGGGGCTACAGAAATCAAAGGAAACCAAATCTGAAATCTCAGAAAAGAGATGGCAGCCTCTCTGATCCAAACATGGTTTCCAAACTTCCCAAATTAAAGCAGCCCCATTGAAATCAATGGGGATTGTCTTCTCAATGTGTTCAGTGGCTCTGCTCTGGTGGGATCAATCTGGATCCAAAATTTGCCTTTCACCTTTTAAAGAACACAGCAAAGAACATGAAGTTTGCCCCCTAGAGTCTTTCAGAGTGAATCTCCCTTATTTACTAAAACCTCATTTACTAGCCAGCTCGAAGAAAAAAGGATGAAAAACCAGGATGGACTAAATATTGCTCATTGATTCGAATCCATCAGGAGGATTTCTAAACAATGTCAAGTCGAGAATGCCTCCTGTGGGTTTCTTTTAAAATTTGCAGCCCTCTCTGATCATTCGTTTTAGCTTCTCAAAGTCTCGCCAAATAATTGTTGTGTTCTCCACAAGGCTGTGTCCACGGTTACGCTGACCTGCTGTGGAGATGCTCATTAACTCTCTTCCTTACAATTCTATCAATCGGTAGGAGTTGCTCTCTATTCATATAAAAGAGTCTTGCCCTCTCAGGATGAGAATATTCTTGGTAGTTCCTTGATTAAGCTACTGTTTACTGTCAGCTTGTTGGTCTGAGTGGGCAGTTCCTTGATTGGGATATTGTTGACATCTTGCTTGTTAGTCTAATATTAAACTCTGGTGTTAATCTCTGCTTATCTGGGTGTTGTTTGCTGGTGAGGAGGTGCTTTGGTCATTTTTATTCCTTTTTTGACTTTTTGATTCTCCCATTTGAATGGCATGTAGATGTTGTTTATCTCTTTGTGCCTGTTGATGGCTGGTTTGTCTGAGCACCAGGATTCCACGAATTCTCTAGAGCTTTTGGACTTGGCTTAGTCTAGAATGCTCACTATTTCCCAGTGTAAACTATGGTTAAGTCTGTCCATGTGTTAGACAAATAAAAACAATAAACTCAGAGAGCACCAAGGACCCCACAGTGAATCCTGAGCTACACACATTCTCTTCTCCCAAAGAAAGATAACTTATCAATGCTGGGATATTTTGAACCACACTTAAAAATGTGTCTATCTACTTTAGAATCCAGAATATTTTCTGAGGTTTAACCACAGAGTTCTTTCTTTTGCCTCCTGAAATCTCTGCACTTGGAATTAATCTGTCTTCAAAGCAAAGCAAGGATTTGAACACTGGGAACTGCCACACCTCAGCATGCAGAGCCAAAGAGAGCTTAAAAGTTAATTTGGTAGAGAGACAGTGCCAAAAATCAATCACAGAAAAGTGTTTTGCATGGAAAACATTGATCCCAGGCCAACATAGGGGATAACTAGAGCATCTTCATTAATGAGATCATTTTGTAGACACTTTCCCTTTTGCGCTTGGAAGTCGACATCACATATCCTCCTCTCCTTTCCCCCCCCCCCATCTCCAACATTCTCAGTGATTTCTGGATTTGCAGTTCTTAAAAAAAATAAATAACACAGATATTCAGGTGGTTTTGCCAACAACAGCATGTATGACAAACTGAATTAGCATCGCTTCTCTGCGAGTTTCTCTCTCTCTCTGTCTTTCTTTGCAGAGGCTATGACACCAGCTGTCATGCTGAGATTCGTAGCCACCATTCAAAAGAATGGCAATAGACCACAGATATAAGAAGGAGCTGTTCTCTGCCATAAATCTTCCCCCTGAAAGGGCTGCCTGAAGAAATGTAGGGAATCGCTTGTTTTTCAAGCCTACGCCATCACGTCTGAGGAAGGTGCAGATATTATTGGTTTAAATATCATTTTATGTACTCATGGGTTGGTCTTATCATCTGGTCTTCAAGCTCCAATTCCCTAACAGCGATAGCCTTTGGGAGCAAACTTTTAGCCGGGTTTTGACTCCCTTTGAATGAAGCTGCTGTAGAATTGGAAAGCGAAATGGAGATTCTTAAAATTAAATTTCTCACCCGGGCAAAACCAAAGATTATCAAGTTTATAGATAAAGCCATTAAGCCATCTAGAGATTAGAGTAGAAGAACAGAGCTGGAAGGGACCTAATCCAACCCCCAGCTCAAGCAGGAGACCCTATGCCATTTCTGACAAGGGGCTGTCCATTCTCCTCTTGAAAGGATCCAGTGATGAAGCTCCCACAACTTCTGTAGACAAACTGTTCCATTAGTTGATGATTCTCTCTGTCCAAAGATTTCTCCTTATTTCTAGGTTAAATCTCTCCTTGATCAGTTTCCAGATGATCAGGGTTAATTACCAAGGGGGTGGATTTATTTAAACATGTGACTGCAACACTATCTCAACATATTGTTTCAGTTTTCCTATATTTTAGCATGCAGATGCCGTATCATGATTTAATACCATCATTTGACTTAACAATCCACCCAAACTACTATAGCTTCCTGACCTAAGGTTATTCCTATCTAATTCTTTGGTATTTGATATTCTAAAGAAGGTGTTTGACATTTCCAGCAAGTGACAGCTGGCATGGCCTAAAACCGAGCATTGTTAAAACCCTGCCTGGTGTGACAGACAACTTCAAGACTCTTTTCTACTTGACAGCTGATGCAGGACAGCAGGTAATATTTGACAGGCCCTCATTCAGGGTTTTCGATGGAATTCTCTCCTCTCCAGTCAGAGATTCATTCATTAACTTCGTCACGGCGGGCTTAAGATTGAGCTAGCTTTTAAACCAAAACTTGATCACCCATTTAACAGTCCCACTTTGTGCGTCTTCTCCTTTGTTGTGTGAAACAATTACCCAGCCACCCTTTCTGAAGGAACTTCTGCTCTCTAAAACTTACCATGTGCAGCCAAACGTTCGTGGTTAATACTTGATTCTTTTCATCCTGCAAAGCCAAAGAAAGAATTAGACCAAGTCAGATATTTTTAGAAGGATAAATTTTAGATTGAAAACCTTTCCTGCTTTCCTTCCCATGTGATCTTCCTCCCACCGAAAAAAAGCCCACCTAAAAAATAAGGAGCTTCTTCAGGGAGGATGTAGAGAATCAACATAACAGAATTACACAGTTGGGAAGGACCTTGGAGGTCTTCTAGTCCAACCCCCTGCCCAAGCAGGAGAACCTGTGTTATGCTATCTAATGACCAGTTGGAGGCACTACATAAGCCTCATCCTTACTGGGTCTCCTTAGGTGTAGGCATCCTCCCTAGGGGATGCTCTAAGTTCAACCCTTTAACAGGATTTGAATCAATGGTGCAAGGATGAATAAGGATGAAACCGGTTGTTTAATTAGTGCCTCCATCTGTCTGTCTGTCTGTCTGTGCGCGCAGACCTTTGAGTTAGTGTTGACTCCTGGCAACTGCCTGGACTAGTCCCTACAGGTTTCTGTGCAAGATTTTCAGAAGTGGTTTGCTATTGCCTCCTTCCCAGGGCTGGGAGGGAGGATTGTCCCAAGGTCACTCAGCTGAATTTTGTGCCAAAGCTGGGGCTAGAACTCACGGTCACCCGGTGGGTCTCAGCAGAGGTGTTAGAAAAGGGAAAGGGTGCCGCTGCAAATGGTTGTTGAGTTGGTTCTTCTTTAACCAGATTGATGGGTTCCGTGCTCTCGCTCATCTCTTCCAGGGCTCTTACTTAGAAAAGGGGAAACAGATTTCCCAGCCCAGTAAAATTGCCTTTCAGCCAAAATGGTTATTAAGGATGGAGATGGACATGTTTGGCCACCAACTTCCTCATCCATGCCAGGGAGATATAATTGGTTGGTCATTACTGGTGCAGCTTCCTGGGAGTCTTTATTAATAATGGCTTCATAAGGTGTTGCTCGTTATCACAACAGTTCTGATGCCTCATCAGCACTAATGGGCAACATGTTGGCTTCCAAGCTACACAAACCTTTGGGAAACACATCGGACAAAGAGTGGCCTATTAGAAACCCCAAAGCAATGGAGATTCAGCTTTCCATAGCCATAAATCCACAATTAAGCCTTACATTTAAGCGACAGTGTTGCTCCCCCCCCCCTTTACAACCTTTCTTGCCACAGTTGTTAAGGGAAGCACTGCAGATGCAGTAACACGGTTGTTAAGTGAATCTGGCTTCCCTCATTGACTTTGCTTGTCAAAAGGGGATCACGTGACCCTGGGACACTGCAACAGTCATAAGTACATGCCAGTTAACAAGCGTCCGGCTTCTGGTCATGTGGCCATGGGGATAGTCATAAGTCACTTTTTCCAGTACCATTCAAATGTCACTAAACAAGGACTGTTGTAAATCAAGGACTGCCTGTATTTGAAGTCCTGTCCAAATATTATTTTTTGCGCTTCCTGCTTTGCCAATACGGTACTTAGCAGCCTTAAGGGTTTTCTTGATGCAAAAGGCTTCGCTTTGTTTTTTAATCTCTCCCCCCCCCCTTCCAGGGTTGACATCCTGTTTTTATGAAGCTCGCTTCTCTTCTGCCAAAGGTCTCCCATGTTTCCATTTGTTTCAGGCCTCTTAATAATTATTGCTTTAAGTACGAGATTTGCAAGGGCCAGCCCATATTTTTACCGTTCTTACAAAGCTGGGATACAAATCTAATTACTGACATAATTGAATGAGCAAATGAAGGCCCAAATGTCAAGATTATTGTTTTCTCTTCCCCCCCCCCCCACCTCCCAATTCAGCTTGAAGAGGGATGCCTAAGTTTGCCCGGCTTTTAATGGCCATTCTAATCAATGTCAAGAGTTGTCCTTGTGGAAAAAAACAAGTGAGGAAGTGAAGAATCGCAGAGATGCTTTTCTTCCCGCATTGCTAATTTGCAAAGTTTGGCAGAGCGCTTAACGCAGAGTTAGCAAAGGAAAAGCAACATTTTATGAAGAGCATTTCCCATGGAAAAGTCCTTGACTTTAAAAATTCAGAATGCACGAGGGAGCCTTTTCAGATGCAATTGCTTCCTTTCTGAGTATCACGTTGAAGATTTCTTACTCTAAATTCCTTTTCCAGGACTGTTAACCAGTTATAAAAGTAAACTAGCATTCTGAGGCTCAGCCAGGAGTATTTCCGCAGAAAACCAAAATTATTCCACAGGTTTTTTTAGGAGACATTTCGGCTGCTTGATTTCAAACCATTTTATTTTGGAAACCAAAGGACAGGTGGCAAGCGATGAACATCTCGGTGACAGTGGAAAAGATTGGCCTGCTTTGCAAAGGTCAACCCATCAAATTTCATATAAATTTGATAGAAAAATAAATAAATTGCATTTCTAACAGGCAAGCTGATCCTGCACACAATTTCTTAGCAAGTGAAGAGTTTGGAGAGTCCTTCTCTAAATGTTAACTTACACATCGGATGAGGCTGTTCTCTGTTCTTATTTTTCTTATGCTCCATAAAAGTAGCTGCAGCTATTTTGCCTCTGCGGACAAGCTTGCTTCTTAAGTCTGGAGCATTCTTGCCCTTTGCAAAACTAAGTCCTTCATTTTATTAAAGGATCTGTTCCCTTCAAAAGAAAAATCAGATTTTGCCAAGTCCCCTTGCAAGAGATTAAAATCAAAGAAACTCTTAATGTGGTTAAGGCGTGCAGCAAAAGACAATGATTATAATTCAAAATAACTTTGCTGTACCCACTCTGCATCTTATGCCATTGCTAAATTCACACTGCACAGCAATAGCCTATAGTAAAAACACAATCCCAGTTCCCCAAGCTGTTGTAAAAATTGTCATTCTGGGTTAGTTTACTATTCTACTGATGTAGCATAATTCAGAATTCCCTGCAGGCAAACAGTGTAATCTGGAAAGAAGGAAAGGAGGCTAAAACTTAAGAATCAATTGCTTTTTGTAAAAGTGCCTTCATTATACCAAATAACATACTGAACCAAAAACATTGGAAGCAAACCTTGCTTTTGGCAACATCCCATAATCTCTGCAGTAGATCCCTCTCTGGCACAATCAGAAAATGGACTAGTTTCTTAAAATTTAAGAAGTTTGGGGGCCCACTGTGATTATGCCACATGCCAAGAAATTTCCATAAGGGATGGACCCCATCAGCTTTCAATAATAATCTTCAGCACCATGAGCAAGTACCTTTAATAACTATTTCAGAAATTGTAAAATTAGAGGCAGCTGTGCTCAACTATTAAAAAATAGGTTGGGAAGGTGGAAATTGGCATCACCCAATTATAAATGGCCTTCTTGATCAGAGCAGACAACTGTCAAATTGGTGCAAAGAATCAGGGCCATTTGTAAGGTTGCAGCATAGAAGATTTATTCAAACCTATGCCCAAGAATCCAGTCAACTGAAGTTCAACACTAAATTGGAACCAGATAAGGGTCAAAGGACTTCAGGAGGGGTTGGACTTGAAGCACTTGTGGAAACACAACGATCCTAAACTGATGGCATGGTTAACTCTGCCTCCCAGTTATGCCTGCTTTTCTCCCACATTAGAAGAGCAGAGGAACGGAATAAAATCCAAGATTTTTGTTGGAGATTGTGAGTCTAGTCCCATCTTGGGCACAATTGGGTGGGTTGGCTGATTTGAGGTTGTGGTAGCACTGAGTTGAAGAGGGAACTCATTAGCTTTCATTTGTCAACAAAATTGCTTGGATTTATTCCATTCCTCTGGTCTTCTAATGTAGGAGAAAAACAGGCAGGGCTGGGGAGGTGGATTGAAGCACGTCATCAGTTTAGAATTGTTGCGTTCCCACAAGCTCACCAAGTCAAATCCCTCCTGAAGTCTTTGACCCTTATCTGGCACCAATTTAGTGTTGAACTTTAGTGGACCAGATTCTTGGATATAAGCTTGAATAAATCTTCTACACTGCAACCTTGCAAATGGCCCTGATTCTTTGTGCCAATATGGCAGTTGTCTGCTTTGGTCAAGAAAGCCATGTGTAATCATCCTGACCTTTATTATCATCATTACCATAATTATTATTATTAATGGACATAGGGAAGGCTTTGGGAAATTATTGGCTGACTGGGGCAGCTTTTAATTTATTCTATGGGTTATTTTTTTTAAAAAAAATCTGCATTTCCCCAACATTAACTAGAGGTTCACCATTGCTTTCTCTTCCATCCACTGTTGACCTGCTAATGATTCTTCTACTAGAGAGGTTATGTTGCCGTTCATCTAATTGCAATAATAAGTTAAGTTCAAGTAATTAATGAAGAGATGAGGTCAAATGAGTATGCCAAGCTATAAATTTCTGTCTAACGGTGCAGAAGTGGCAACGCTATTATACTCTCTCCTTCAGACAATAAAAACGAACTTCCTTCACATCCTCTGGAGGAAAACAGAGGATTAAACATTTAAACATTAAACAGAGAGGGCTCTTGCAAAGAGCTCTCATAACTTATTTTAATTTTGCTAACATTTTTAAAACGGTTATAATTATAATACTTCTTTCCAGTGAAAACTTCACTGTTCCACAATAAAAGCATGTCCAATGCTCTCTTCGTTTATCCCCTCAGACATCTAAGTACAATCCAGCAAGGCTGACTTCCTTGAAGGCACAGGGAGAAGACCCACAGTTTCTATTCTTCTGAAGTATAAAAAAATTAGACTTGTTTTTGAGTAGATACTTTCAGGAATTTACTATTTCTCTTCTTCAACCTCTGTCCCTAAATAAAGTTGTAACCATTACTCTCCCACTGAAAATGGATGAAAAAAAATCCTCCAGGTTTATCCAATTATGTCTGTCTGTCTGTCTATCTATCTATCTATCTATCTATCTATCTATCTATCTATCTATCTATCTATCTATCTATCACAAAAGGACATTTTTAGGATGACTTAAAGGTATATTGAAAACAACGTATTTCTACCATTATCAGAAACTGCAATGTTGAATAAATTTAAGGCAAGTGGACAGGCTTACGAGCAAATAGAAAGATCTACAAAATGAGAAAACTGCAGGCA